ATTTTTTTTTTCATTTAGAACATGAAATATAATCAATAAAAAATTTATTTTATTTCTTTCCATAAGATATGGACATTTTTACCACTCAGCAAACATTGCAAAACTAAGGCTTAGAATGATATGAATAACTCATAACTATTATATATATATATATATATATATATATATATATATAATTCCCATAAAATACAGAAAATAATAAAAATTTTAAGCTCATTGATGGTTGCCCAATTTGTATCCATCCTAGCTTTTCCTCTTTCTTCATAGCTTTAGCTTAATTACGCACTAGATGCTTATTAAGCGACAAGCGAAGTACAACCTTAACGCTTTACATTTTACAATCCACCAATCTGCATAAGCACGTCAATAATTGTGCCATTGGCATGCCCCAAAGTTTCCCAAAGAGGCCGAATCTGATCAATGTGAATCAATAAGTATCACAACGATCATCCGTCAAAATATGGGATGGGATAATGACCAGTGTCCTCATTCTCAATTGAACCAAACTTACTCCACCACTTGGCCTAGTTTTTTAGTGCATGTTTGGAGACGATCATAATTATATTTTTTAAAAGTTATTTATGAAAGTTTATAAAATTAAATGATTGTTTCTTTAAAATAAAATAAACTAAACACGTACATAATTTAAATGTATATGTGGGAAGGTTAATAATAATGGTTTTCTAGTTTGGATTTATTTGAATTCTGAAGCTATGGCATTCAACAACTTGAGGCTTATGGAGAGGCATTGTCTGTATGTATGTCTCCATCCATCTGTGGGACTAAAAAGCTTTTTCGGATTCCTTCTGGCAAGTCCTATCCTATGGGCAGAGTGGTGTGCTTGAGGATGGTAGGCAAAAGGTGACACACAAGAACAGATTTGTTGTTTCTTGAAATCTATTACCTCAAGTCCTTTTCAATTTTTGTCTTGCATGTCATTTATTTTATTTTATTTTTGTCTTTGTGAGACCTTATTTTTTATTAGGCATATTTGCTTAGACATTAGCATATCACCATTTGTTCCCACAGAAAGAGCACACCGACAATCACACAAAGCAACTTATCTCTTCTCATTCCAAAGCAGATTGCTTCTCTTTCATCACACTTTTGCATGACCAGAAGCGACTAGGGAGGGGACCATAGCATAGGGTGCCACTTCCTTCCATTAAAACCCAATTCAACATCTACTCTCATCAAAACACTTCGGCCCACCTAGATAACAAGCCCAATTTATTGTATCCATTCTTATGAATTTCTAGTTGTTGCCCAGAACAAAAAAAGTTCATTTCAATTTTCCATTGACAACGTGACTGGTCATTTATGCCTGATTAACTATATGTTAAGAAATGCCTTATTAAAAAGTAAGATTCAAAATACATGTTTTAAATTTGAATTGAGGGTTTCTTACTGGTGCATTGTCCACAAGTCTGCTATAAATTTGAATTAGAATGGGATCATAGTAAGTTAAGTTCACACAAAAAGTTTACCGAGTCTCTTCGGGCACTAAATTTCAACAGAGAATCTTAACCAAAACTACTTGCATTCTAGTAGATTATCTTCTTTTTCACGCTATGGATTGAATCTCCTGCGTAACCCAATAAAGGTCTGAGAACTCCTCTGTTCAATCATGAATGGATTCAGAGCTTCGGTTAAGATGCAGCCTATCATTAATTGATATGGGCTTTTAAATAAGAACTTGGACTTCATGGCCCATGTGAAATGGAGTAACTAGTCACTTGGGTAATTTTGATCAGATACACGCGTTAATCCAAAAGAAAAGCGATTAGTTTTCAATTAATTACAGAGATACCATTTGAATGATTTATTTTATAATAAAAAAAATATTTGTTCAAAATTTTCATTCTAAATCATTTAAATATTAACGATACAGAAATCAATTTTTTTTATCATCACATTTTAAAGGTAGCTAATTAATAACAAGTCAGCCAAACTAGGGACTCAGCTATATTAAATATATTAGCTTAAGGGATCGAATGTAGTAGTTATGAATGATATTTGTAGAAAGAATAAAAGCTTAAATGTTTTTAGAAACAAATGTTGACAACACTAATAAAATTTAAGTAAAAAATGATATACCTTTTACATTATAAATAATAGTAATAATAAAGTTTCGAGTTTTGACGTTTTATTAAAAATAATAAAGTATTTTAAAAGTTTAACACGCTAAGATGTCAGATTTTGAATGATGACTGCAAAAAGTTTATAATCGTTGCCAAAGCCAGTGTTGTTAACCTGTCTTTCCGTACAATTAATCTCCATCCATTTTTCCTTACATTCGTTATTTTCTTTTGTCGCTAAAGCTGCTTTTTGACCCGTTGATAAGGAAAGATCCTGCGATTTGATTTGTGGTATACTGAACATTCACAGTGTGTTAGACACGAACCAACATGTCAAATTTGTAGTGCCAAACTTTTTTGATACAATTTCTTTGAATGGTACCCAAATGGAAAATTATCATTCGACACTTGTTAAACGTGTATGAAATCAGTAGATGGAAAAGAAAAATAAAAATATAATAATTGTATGCAAAAATTCAAATGATTTGTTAAAGAGCCCTGTAAAATATAAATAATGAATGCTATGGGGAACTTTTGCTCCACCACCAAAAGTAATAATAGGGTTGATCGTTGCGTAGCTCCCCATCATGTCAGAATTATTAATATGTATTAATAGAAAAGCTAAAGTTATATTTTAAATGAAAATTTATCCATGAAAACTTAAACTTTGCGGGTAACTCTTAATCCTGATGTGGCTCTCTCCTTCAGCTTCATCTACACTGATCAAATTAACAAAAAGAGTTGCTCCAAAGTCAAACTCATTATTCTTTATCGCAATTTGCAACAAATCAAGACATTGCCTTGCACAGTTTGGGTTAGGCTGCGAGTAGTTGACATATATAGCGATTGAGAAAAATAGAGAAACGACAAATTAATATGAATAGAAAAGGTTTTACATATTTTTTGTAACATACTCACCGACCATTATTTGAACCAGTAGAATCAAAGGGTCTAACCAAGCCTGGGTTTGTTGTGTGTGAAAAGGGAATAAGAGATCAGTGATTCGTATATAACACGAGAGGGGGTAGCATAATCTAGCTTAAGATGTTTGAATCCAATGAACTAAACAAAGAACTAAATTTTTAAACTTGGCGTCACAATTTAATTAAGCCCTTAGATATTATATTAATATTTATTTTCTCATTTACACAATCTCTTTTTTTAAATAAATATTTTTTTATAAATAAAAGTTAAAGTGATGAAAGAATGATTAAACGAGCCGTGGCCCAAACAGCCGTCAAATCCCAACTTAAAGTAAAAGTTTACGGTGACGGTTCGGCCCCTTTTCCGGAGAGCCCACTAAATGGGACCCAGCCCAACCATTCCTGTTTGATGTTTGGTATGACCAGAACAGCACAACGCCAAAGTATATGCAGCTTTATTCATATAATCATTAATAATCGATCAATCATTAACCATGTGTACAAAAAAATTGCATTCTTGCCTAGTTTTTAATGGACATTAACAACAATTTTTCAATGCAGGAGAAAGTGTAAGATAGTGATGTGATAGACGTATTAATAAAATAACAATAATAATTTTTTATATAACTATAACATAAGTCTTTTTTTATTATTTTTATGATCAGGACTTCAAAAGCCCTAGAGGCTTATAATGGTTTTTTGAATAAACTATAATAATATGATAATGAGGGGTATTATGATCGAACTGATAATATTATAAATAATCAAACATTGCTCTAGAAAGAAGAAAGGTACGTGTATATTGAAATGATTACCAGATTAGCAAGGAGATCACAAAATCTGTGGCGGGACCAAGCGGTTTCCTATATTAAATTGCAACTACAAATTTGTCTCACATGGACCCATTATCAGCCATTCCATGTCAAACACCAAACTAATTGATCATTTTATTAATATCTTCTTGCTTTGTTGACACACGGACGATGTCTATCCTAAGTTTTGCGTATATTAACTAACATATCCCCCAGTTTTATAATTAGGATTAAAAATATTGAATGAATATTCCTTAGGATCTCCATTTTACATTCAAATGAATAAAGTGAATAATCAATTCCATTGAGTTTCATAACATTTTGAATGCACGTTTATGGCTCTTCGGAGACAGATCGATCAGAATATAATACTTTTTAAATAGTTAAAAACATGTTTGTGTTACTTTAAATTAAACACAAATAAATATATAATAATCTGTCTCACTCGATTGAGATATTTATTTGTGAGCTTTCGATAAAAGTTTAGTACATGAAATATTCTCATTGAGTCTTTCCAGCACCATGCACTCTACACTGAGATTTCCTCCAGGCTATCGGATCTAATAAAAACATATAAACATGAATGGATATTCGAATACTATAACACAAAAAATTGATATGCCACCAAATGGTATAAAATATATTTTAAAAAAACAGCAACTTGTCATGAAGTCGCTATTACAATCAGAAGAATTTTATACACAGAAAACGACAAAAGGAGCAATTTTAAAATAAGTGCCTGCTATAGTTTCTATCAAGCAGGAACCTTTTTCACAACATGAAAAGAGAGAAGAAAGAGGTCTGCACGATGACAAGTCAAAGCCTCTCAAAAACACTTGAGGGGAAAATTAAACAACTAAGGGGATTTGAAAATGCTATTGTGGTGTAGGGTAACATAGCCAACCACTCAGTCAACTATGCAAAAAATAAAGAAAACAACAGAAGAAAACACTTTGGCATGGCATCATCTGTTGAAACTTGAAACTCCCTCACACCTCGCAGCAGCAGAACAAACCCATGTAAACATGCTAACAAATACTCGCAGGCCCTTCATATGTTACTCCAGAATCCACATCATGGACGAAAAAGGAAAAAAGAAAGCACTGCGACAAAAACCATTATTGCTAAGCTTAATCCTCTAGCCATGCACATCAATGACGTAAATTTCTTGAACTCGTTATGCCACATCAAATAAACTGCCTCAAAGCCTGTCGTAGCTTTCCTAGAAGATCCTTCGCTGTAATGCAGTTTTCCTTGTTCATCTGTTACAAAACACAGAAACTACGTTGGCCTTGGTCTAGCTATGTGAAATTAAGTATCAGAGAAAACAAATTAAGCTATCAAATTAAACTTAATTAATAAATAACTACACCTATACTTGCATGAATGCATTATGAATGAATACTACACATTTTGCAAAGCTTAATTTGGTCAATTACCTGAGCAATGATAGTAACATCGATATTGTTATTTCCAAAGGGCAAAAAACTGCTACTCTGGACATTGAGACTAAGCTTTTCTAATTCGCTCAGTATCATTGCCGTACGTCCACTGTGTTTGTCGCCTTGAGTTCTGACGAGAACGTCTTTTCCAGAAACTCTTACTTCGATTTCGGGGAGTAAATGGTCAAAGTAGCCATCAAAATTTTCATCGGATGATGAATTATCATCGTTCGTGAAGAGAATAGATCTCTTAACTATGACTTCGGATCCAACTGTTTTCTTAGCTGCTCGCTCTTCCAGATTCTGCACCCGTTCTTGTAGGTGTTTCAAATACTTTATAGCATCTCCCAACACAGAAGCCTTGTCCATCTGCGCATGTAACTCATGAAATTAGTTCAACTTTTAATTGTTGGATGAACTTTGATTAATTAAGTCTGCATTTGTTTTTATTACTTAATTTCACTCAATTTATAAATCATAATCATGTCAATGTATTTTGGAGGGTCGTCACATGCATGAGATAAAAATATATAACAATTGTTAAGATGAGTTACCTTCTTGAGGCCAGGAAGGATGGCCGAAAGAGCAATGAATCTCTGGCTGAGTTTTTCCCTTCGTTTTCTTTCGGCTAACACGTGTTCTTGAGCTTGGATTGGGTTCCTGGTGGTCATGGCAACCTGGTTGGCTTGATTACCGTGATTTAAGAAACTTTTGTCCTCGTGTGAACCTTTAGAAATGAATGCTGCGAAATCCATGTTCCCTCCACAACCTTTCTCGATTTTAGGCTCCGCATGGGAATTCATGTTGTGGAATTGCTGTGAAGCGAGTGATGGTGCATTGAAGGGCCCAAAAGAAATAATTTGGGAGGAAGGAGAAGGTGAAGTGTTGGATGTCTTGAGCTTCTTGGTTGGTCTTGGAGTAGGTCTTGGAGGGGTAACGGATTGATCAGGACTTTCAGCCGGGAAACTATTTGGTGTTCTTTCGTAGTTGAAACACTGATAAGAGGAATTGCTCTCTGGGGACCCGGAGAAGGACTCAAAGTCAAAGTCATCAAGTGGGTATGCAAAAGAATCCATCGGGTATTGATCAAAGAAGGTGGCATCTTCCATTCCCTGTTAAAGTCAAAATAACATCAATTTCTACTTCTATGTTAAGTAATTAATTCATTTTCTTAAATGCTTATGATGAGTTCCCAGTATGCTTACAAGTTCAGGCATGTAGTTGGTGGATGCAATTGCCATCATCTTCGGTATCCTTCAGCGATTAATTATTTTAGATCGAGAGCACCTAATTAATTAAGGGATTGAGAAATGAGATTTCCAAATTGTTCAATGGAAAACCGAAAACGATGTGGGGTAGTAGTAAATTTAACTTTAATCGATAAATGCTAAAAAGAACTGGTGAAGTGCTGCATGATGAAAACAAGAACTAAAAAAGAAAAAAAACTAAAGTGAAACTAGTTATAATGAAAAAAGAAGAAGAAGGAATGGTACGAAGAGATATAGATTTAGAAAATAGCCTACCTTGACTGAGGAAAATTAGAAGACCGAGAGGATGAAGAGAAGAGATTAGTTTTGCAAACTTGGTAGATGAAAAGAACAAAGTTGCCAACGTTTTATATAGGAGCATCGAACACGCTTCACACCCGGGTCAATAGAAACACGTGTGAAAATGTATCCCATTTTCTTTGAGAGTCAGTTGATGCCTTTTGAATCCGGCTAATCCCTGTCTTCACTCGTAATGTCTGGTCAAACTATGGGTTCTTCGGTTTTGTTTTCATCATGATGGATCATGTGTCTCTTTGGAACATTTTAGCACGTCCATCACTTTGAGAATTTAAGGTTTAGTTTTTTTTTTTTTTCGTGAATCAAGGTTTAAATTTTGTTGGCCCACTGAGTTGTGATCTACGATAAATTATAAATTATCTGGCTATCCCATATTATGATTGTCACGTACGCCAATAAATAGTTGCAAACCAATAATAATAAAATGTGATAGTTAAAATAAAAAATGAAATTGTCAGTTAATTTGTAAATGATATTATTAATGATTATCTTTAGGGAATCAATATATAAAAACTTTTATAAAAAATTACAATTGATATATATATATATATATATATATATATATAATTAAATGTAATTTTAATACTCTTTTCATTTTAATTATTGTCTTGATTAGCAAGATCGATATAAATAGCATTGATATATAAACATATTTTTACATACCATCCATAGAAAGTAAAATGAGTGACTTGAAACTCTTTCATCCCATTAATTTATACGTGACATGAGTTTTTATCAGCAGATTTAACGCCTGTATAAAGTCTCAGTTGTAGAATTTTCATTTACATGTAAATCAGGGCTCACAAGCCCAAGAGAAACCCAAATTACAGCACAGGCACCTAGAATGACCTCTCTGATTAATCAGATAAGATTAACTAACGATAAAGGAACCTAGAATGACCTAGATTGGTCAAATAATCAGCCCCTCTATTTTCATTTGTAGATAATTAATTGAAATTGGATATAAAAATAAGTAAAAGTATTGCAAATTATAGAAAGTGTATGTATTTGAAATTGAAAATAAAATAATAAAACGACTTATGTTATTCCTTTAAACGGTAACTGATTAAATTATTTTAAAAGGCATATTTATTTAATATTTAATACGTACGGAAGGATAACATTAGACTACAAGTTCGATGTTAAATAACAAGTGTGTGTGTGTATATATATATATAATGTAATGAGTTTTCTTTCAAATATATTTGAAGTTTTTTTTTTCTTACTAAAGAGTTGCTGATAGGCGACAACACTGTTTTTTATTTACTGTATAAACTTGGACAAAGACGGTAACGATACAAAACAAGTTGAAGGTGCAGATGGGTGTTGACCCGTTGTTGCTGACAGTGCCACTGCAAAAATATTATAACGATTGTGGATAAATGTCATATGCTCTTACCTCATTCCCTCTCCCATCAAACTGGAAATGCAGCCACATGAATCAAAATAATATCATATATACCGTTCGTCAATAATTTATGTTTATTATTCTATAAACATCTGCTAATACCTCTTTTTTATAATAAGTAACATATTTATATTGCATCCAACCAAAAATATTAGCATATTTTTAACCCTTTTTGTTATTTACTCCTTGTTCGCCAGAAGTTCCAATTGTACGCTTACCCGTTGTTTTCTTAGCGTATATCACTTTCAAAGCAGAAAAACAAAATGTTTCTTAGACACTTTATAATGAGATGTATATATGTATTTTAGAGAAAGATAAAAAGAAAATAAAAGAGTAATAAATATGATATAACAATTAGAACTGAAAGAAGAATTGCAAAGTCGCGTAAGCCTGTTGACGAATCTCAAATGTGTATTTTCTGCAACTGCTATTAATCTGAAGTTTTTAGCAACTAAACTTAAATGTGTCTTCTTTGTTAACCCTGTTTTGAGAATAATTATTAAACATTCTTAATTTCTCTTTTTGCATACAGGCTTTGTTTGAGTTTGAGAGATAGGAGAAGGAAGAAAAAGAGAAAAAAGCCATCTAAATATTCTCAAACTCTGATTTGTTGTTTTTAAAAACTCTCAAATAAAAACAAAGTTTTTTAAAAATCTCCTCTTTAGTTTTTGTAACTGTAAGGTGATTCACTTTTACTTAAAATATATATGAGAGGAAGTTTTAGGAAGAGAAAAAAGAAGAGGACATTTTTTTAATTTTAAACTAAAAAAATTATATATTATATATAATAATAAATACACTATTAATATATCAATTTATATATTTTACTTTTAAAAATATTAATTTTAAATAAATTTATTTAAAATATAAATTTTGTCCTTTCTTCCTTTTCCTTTTAAAATCTTCGTTCCCAAACAACTACTTAAATACGGAATATTTGGGATCTCCACAGCATATCTCAAAGTTGTTAATTACTTTTCTAAAACTGAAATGTACTGAAATTTATTGTTTCCACCCTTAAGAACTTGTACTTAATTAGCATCGTATTTTTAATTAACTATTCAATGGATAATTAATTGTGAACTAACTATCATTAAACAAACGTGTGTTTAAAAGAGGAACCATTGAAAGAATCCAGGAAACGAAACAATTTTGTAACTTGTGTTACCTCAACGTGTAATCATCACTAGCTCAAATACTACTTGTTACACTCATTTTTTGTTTATTGTGTTTGCAAATATAACCTGACAAATGACATGAAAAGAGTGAAGAATCTACGAGTTGTTCGATAAATGTTTATACGGATTTTTAATTATTTATCACATCGATGAATTAACCATTCGTTTCAAATAAAAAAAATATTATAATAACATGTATTTTAATTATATTTATATATGTAAGTATAAATTAGAAAGAAAAAAAAACGAAGGTAATTTTTTTAACATGTTTTTTGTTTGACATAATTTTTATGATGTAATTATATTCTAATTTTTTTCGTTTGTTCTTTCAACATGGTAACAATTTTTATGGATATCCTTAAAATTTGATGTTTTTATGAAATTTAGTGAAATATAATATATTAATAATGTGTAATGTTATTCCAATAAATAATAATTTATTAGTTCTATTAAAATTTTAAATAATCTTTTTACTACCACACATAGTATTAAAAGTGACTTGTTGCATTATTAAAATTGTGTATGTTGTTGTGTTATCAATAAGACATTTCTTTATTATTAGTATTGTCCAAAAGAACATTCATTATTTATTGCAAAAATAAATAAAATAAAATAAGATATTAAAATTGATTAAAAATTAAAATTTATTTATTTACAATGACTATATTAATAATTTAATTTAAATAATAATTATATGAGTGAAAGAACAATAATAATGTTTGACTATTTGTTTAATTATTATTATTTTTTTTTAGAAAAAATACACTAAACATAAATAACATATAAGAAAAACACATAATAACTCAATAATATGAAGACATGATAATCTTATTTTTGGATACTTCCATTTCTAATGAGATGGTCAATTTTTTATCTAATTCAGAAATAAATTCAATATCTAAGTAAGTAACATTCACATGACTATAATCTAAATCATTATCTTTACGAATAAATTTGATCTTAATCTTTTTTCTCCTAATTTTAAGTGATTAATGATAAAGATCAATAAAATGGGACCAACAACTTTTGGTTCAACAATAATAACACGTCTTTTATATTTTCATTACTTTAGGTACCTTTGTTTTTTTTAATTTTTCAAAATTTTTCTCACTTTTAATAAAAAAAAACCATTTTTTTCACTATCACCATAATTATGTACATAACTATTACCATAGACTACAATTATAGTTATAAGTTTGTTCATAATTATATTAATTACGAGTTATTATATTCACTTATAAAGATGAAATAATGATAATTAGACAAGATTTATAATTTTTCATCAAAAACTTATTATTTCGTTCAACAATAAAGAGACAAAAAATTAATTCATAATATTTTTTAAAATATTTTTCACAATATTACTGCTATAGGAGAATATTAGATATGTGAAAAGTAGAGAATACTTTTTCTAATATATCATAATCAATAAACTTTTACCCTCACAATTTAATTGAGATTCATTATAAATAATGCAAAATTATACTTGATAATAATTTTAAAAACTTGCAAGCATAAATACATCTAATTATAATAAACTTTTAATAAAATAATATTTTTTATGATCATATATGTCTTAAATTTTGCTAAAGAACAAGTGAGTTTTTTTCTATAAAGTATTCATTTTCAATTCTTCTTGAAGGTTATGACAACAAAAAGTATAATTTTAACATTATCTTAATTAAATGTTTGTTTTGTTTTTAATAATATTTTTAATGACTTTTTGCATCTAAATAAATTTTAGCATGATACTTGTTATAAGTATTTTTTTTTATTTTGTAATGTGTGTTGCAAATTTGAAGTGTATGACATACTTCGTACTATTATAAATATAAAAATAAATTAGATATTATATAAATATTGTAATGACAAAAATAATTATATATAAAAAAATTTAAATATTTAATTGATAAGTAAAATAATAAATATTCTTTTTAATTAACGGTGAAGAAAGTAAAATATTATATTATTTATATAGATAGTAATTTAATATTGTAAATTTTAAATTATTTTTTTTGTAAACATAAGTTTATAAGTATAATAACTTAAATTAAAAAAAATAAATATGATATATTTTCATAAAAAAAAACATT